CTCTATCATCACCAATTTCACCATCACTATCACCATCATTACTCTATCATCACCAATTTCACCATCTCTATCACCATCATTACTCTATCATAACCAATTTCACCATCACTAACACCATCATTACTCTATCATAACCAATTTCACCATCATTACTCTATCATCACCAATTTCACCATCACTATCACCATCATTACTCTATCATCACCAATCACCATCACTCACCATCATACTCTATCATAACCAATTTCACCATCACTAACACCATCATTACTCTATCATAACCAATTTCACCATCATTACTCTATCATCACCAATTTCACCATCACTATCACCATCATTACTCTATCATCACCAATTTCACCATCACTATCACCATCATTACTCTATCATCACCAATTTCACCATCACCATCATTACTCTATCATAACCCAATTTCACCATCATACTCTATCATCAAATACCATCACTATCACCATCATTACTCTTCATCCAATTTTCACCATCACTATCACCATCATTACTCTATCATCACCAATTTCACCATCACTACACCATCATTACTCTATCATCACCAATTTCACCATCACTATCACCATCATTACTCTATCATCACCAATTTCACCATCACTATCACCATCATTACTCTATCATAACCAATTTCACCATCACTAACACCATCATTACTCTATCATCACCAATTTCACCATCACTATCACCATCATTACTCTATCAATTTCACCATCACTATCACCATCATTACTCTATCATAACCAATTTCACCATCACTATCACCATCATTACTCTATCATCACCAATTTCACCATCACTATCACCATCATTACTCATCACTTTCACCATCCCACTATCACCATCATTACTCTATCACCACCAATTTCACCATCTCTATCACCATCATTACTCTATCATCACCAATTTCACCATCACTATCACCATCATTACTCTATCATCACCAATTTCACCATCATTATCACCATCATTACTCTATCCTCACCAATTTCACCATCATTACTCTATCACCAATTTCACCATCACTATCACCATCATTACTCTATCATCCCCAATTTCACCATCGCTGTCATCATTACTCTATCCTCACCAATTTCACCATCATTACTCTATCACCAATTTCACCATCACTATCACCATCATTATCATCACCAATTTCACCATCACTATCTCAATCATTGCTCTATCATCACCAATCTCACCATCACTATCATCATTACTCTATCATCACCAATCTCACCATCACTATCACCATCATTATATCCTCACCAATTTCACCATCATTACCCTATCACCAATTTCACCATCACCAATTTCACTATCCCTATCACCATCATTACTCTATCACCACCAATTTCACCATCCCTATCACCATCATTACTCTATCATCACCAATTTCACCATCACTATCACCATCATTATATCCTCACCAATTTCACCATCATTACTCTATCACCAATTTCACCATCACTATCACCATCATTACTCTACCATCACCATCCATACTCCCCAACCCTTCACTTTCATCACCACTACATATCACCAAATCCACCGCCATCATCATTACTCTCATATCACCATCACTATCACCATCATTACTCTACCATCACCATCCATACTCCCCAACCCCTTCACTTTCATCGCCACTACACATCGCCACTCCCTCTCTCTCGTGCTCCAAGCGACCCCACAAACTCGAGCCGGTTCGGAGCTTCGGACCTGCAGCCAAACGAAGCCTCGAGCCCGTCCGAAAATCCTGAGGTCGCTGCTGGTCCTCCCAAAAGCACCCGGCGGGATTGCGTATTGAAAATGAAAAATTGGTTTATGTCGCTGGTCGTGAGTGTGAGGGTGGGTGGGTGGGGTGGGGAAGGGTTAGGGTGGGTGGGGGAGGAGGGGAGGGAGGAGGGGAGGGGTGGAAGGGGAAGGGAGAGGGATGGGTGGAGAGGAGGGGAGGGGAGAGGGGAAGGTGGGAGTGAGAGGAGGGAAGGTGGGTGGGAGGAGGGGAGGGAGGGTGGGAGGGGAGGAAGAGGGAAGGGAAGGGAGGAGCAAGGAAGGGAAGGATGGGAGGGGAAGGGACGAGTAAAAGGGAGGAAAGGGTGGAGGGTAGGAAAGAGGAAAGGGAGAGAAGGAGAGAGCGGAGGAAATGAGACGAAAAGGGGAAAAAGAGAAGATGACAATAAGGAGATAGGAAGAGAGACAGGGGAGGAAAGAAGGAAAGGGAGAGTTGAAGGAAGAAGAGTGAAGGAAGAACATGAAAAAGGGGATTGAGAGAGCGGAAGAGAAGGAAAAGAGAGCTGGCGAGGTGGAGAAGACGGCGAAGAAAGAGGAGATGGAGAGAGAGGAAAGGGATGAAGAAATGTGAAAGAAGAGAAAAAAAAGGAGAGAGGGATGAGAAGGAGAAAGGAAGGGAAAGAGGGGAGAAAATGTAAAGAGGATAAAGAGAGGGAAAGAAGGAAGGAAATAGGGGAGGTAG